AAACTTGAAATACAAGAACAATTGTATGACATGAAGAATTATTAAGTTGTCAATACATTAACTCACATGTTTTTTTTTAGAAACAAATATTAATTTTAAGAAAATGAAGAATTCAATTAGAGTATACGTGTGACAAATTTAAGATATAACTATTAATAAATCAATCAATATAATAGTCTATATGACGTAAATAATGAGAAAGTCAGGTGTTAATATTTTATACACTACTATTTTATGCATTGTGATATTTTATGCACTGTAATATTATTATTGTTTGTCTTGTGCAAATTATTAACTAGGTTCTTTTAGTAATTAGTTTTTAAATAGGATTATGATGATATGTGTTGTTTATTTATTTATTTTGATATATATTTTTATTGTGCTAGAGTCTATTTCAGTATGTTTTTCTTGAAATTGGTTTTTATCTATTTTATTTTTTTAAGTGTTTGGACTTAAGACTTGTTAAAGTTATATTATGCGTGGTTAAAAAATATGTTTTGTCGGCTTCTTTAGTAATAATTTATTTTTTAATAAATTATGTAATAAATTAAATTGTAAAATAAAACAATAAAAAATTGGCGGGCCGATCCACCAATCCGCCAAGTCGTTAGTAAACGGAACGGGTTTGACTTTTGAACTCGGATGCCTAAATTTGCCTGTCGCGCTCCGCTTTTGTACGGATTTAAACGGGGCGGGCCGTCCACTTTATCATCCCTACTTTCAACATATTTATAAAATTAATATAGTAAAAGTGTAATGTTTTATGATACTACTATTACATTTCTTAATTTATATGCAAAAATCTTAAATGATATTCATTTTAAAATGAAAGAAATAATATTTATCTTTATTAACTCATTCGAAATTAACTATTAGCATAAAACTTGTGATGCTATTTATTTAAAAGAACATATGAAAATAATTTAGGACAAAAACTTATAACATTTGTTAATAAGATTTTTTAAATTTATTTTTATAAATTCTTTAAAATAATTAATTTTAATTTATATATATATAAAATATAATATAATAATAAAATTATTCATATTTATTTAAATAAATTAACATATAAAAAACTTTTTTTATAGTATTAATTTAATTTTTTAATTAAAAAAATTTATAAAAAAAATTTAAATCTTTTCTATTTAAAAGAAACTTGATCTGAACTGAACAGCTAGAGCGTAAGGCCTTTTAATTAACTTATCTATTCTCACCCTTAATTAATTTTATAATTTTATATTTTTAAATATAAAATATGAAAAAACAAAACATTCAAAAAAGAAAAACGAAATCACAAATGAAATCAAGAATATGCTTTTTTGACTCTGATTTGTAAACAAAAGCACAAACTAGAACAAAACACACACGCAAATAAAAAACACATAAACAAAATCAAAAGTTGCCGAAATTCCAAAACCCCAGCTACAAACAGCAACACCAACTCTTAATCCAATTCTTTTCCTTTCCTTTATCTTTCACAACTCCTTCAACGCTAAGAAACTCTCACAACCACACATAACATAATTATAACAAAAACATTAAATGCTTTGTTTTTGTTGTTTATGTCGGTCTTGAATCCTAATTTACTGTTTCAATTCAACCAATTCATCAAACAAGATCAACCCATTTCATCTTTCATGTTCAAACACCCAAATTCAACTTCAAGTTTGAATCTTTTTTGTTTTTTTCAACTGGGTAGGTAGTAGGTACCTCTCAATTTTCAATGGGTTGTCCTTCAAATTCCATTACCTACAATGGTACCTTTTGTGCCTGTTCACCTGGCTATGTTCTCAACGTTGTGGCCAACAGTTGCAACCTCTTTGAGGCAGATTCAACTATAACCACAGATTCTGGTGTTGACTACTATGCTTTTAAACTCCCAGAGACACTTTCTGGATTTGATAACATCAAGAAGTTTACACAATCCCAAGCTGTGTTCTTGGAAGCCACGTTTGTTATGCTTCTCTCTTGGCTTTTCTTTTGCTTTTTTCTTAGGTTCATGAGCCTTGGTGATGGCCGTGGGGTGTGGTTCAAACTTAGGTGGTTTATTAGTCGGTTGGATGTTTGCTTTGCTACCAGACATTGGTTGGTTAGTACTACTTTGTTTTGTTTTATAACAACAAAGTTGTATATAATTCATTTAAGTTTATTTATGTTTATCAGTTAAATTAGTTGGTGTTAAGTTAAGTTAGTTTATAGCAACAAAACCGTAGATAGTTTAGTTACGGTTAATTTAGTTTATCAGTTAGGTTAGTAGATGTTTTGTTAATGTATGAATGCTCTTGCACGCCGGAGTCAATTGCTAACTATGATCTATGTTATGGAGATTCAATAAAGTTGGCTGTCGACTGCCTAACAAAGAGTGACGTTTTGTTTTCTTGTAGGATGATAAAAAAGTAGTAACCAAACGCAAAACCGAACTTGGTGGAGCTTTCTCCATAGCAAGTTGGATACTCTTTATTGGTTTATTTGCCGCGTGAGTCTTTGATGCCTTATCATCACATTTTCAGGAATAGTTTTATTTTCCTTATTACGTTTCGATTTCTGTTTGTTACAAGTCGTTTTTTTTACTCAGCTGTTCAATTTCCATCAGGTTGTTGTATCAGATCATATCAAAGAGATCTATTGAGGTTCATAATGTAAGAGCAACAAGTGCGTCAGAGCTAACGTCGTTTCTCAATGACATGGAGTTCAATATAACAACTGTATCCAGTATGAGCTGTGCAAATCTTCGCGATCTCGGTAATTTAGTTTTGGGGAATCCAGGTTTTATTGACGAAAGAGTTGTTTCTCTGTCGACTTTAGTAAACTACGCATGTCACAACTCGAGCAAGGGACCAACCATAGCACTCAAGTGTAAAGGTTGCAAGCTCATCTCCGATCACATGTACATTTCGTGGCGATTTGTTGATCTCCCAAGTAGTCCTGCCACTGCTGTTGGCTATGAGTTTCATCTCACTGCAACGGATAATGGTAAAAGACACGTGAGTTTTGTTAATGGGACACTAAAGAACGGAACCGCTTTTGATGATAGACCGGTTACATTTAGAGGGAGGCAATCAAATATTTTGAAATTCAATCTTTTTCCTCGAATATACCATAATTTACACGATCTAAAGCTCATTCAGCCTTTGTTTCACGAGTTTCTTCCTGGTTCAGTTTTTCGCGATACAAATCAGCTTCGATCGTCCCTGGAAAATTCTGTTGACGGACTAGTCAACACAACATTGTATATCAATTTTCTCTCTGCTTATGTTGTGGAGGTTGATAAGGAGAATATTTTGGGTCCAGGTAAGCATCTATCTATATCTTGTATATACCACTGCTATCTTCTGTAATTTTTCTTATTAGTTGTAACCCAAATTTAGTTAGTTCTTGAATACCTAAGTTTGTATTTCTCATGTAATTTTGTTGTTTGCTTGAGCCTGTGGCTGTTTTCTTCCAATTTATTGTATCGTACTTTCATTAGCACCCCTAATTTTGTTCATTCTCGTACTAGTCACTGGATACTATCATCCTATGAAGCACGGAGACAGCACATACACATTGACTTCAGTAATATTTAAGAAAATAGAATAATTAAATGTAACCTTACATGTCGGTATCTGCAGTGAGCTTTCTTGCAGACCTTGGTGGCCTATATTGCATTAGCATAGGATTCTTTTTCTATCTATTGATACAGGTACACTTCTTTCTTTCTCGATAATATTCAATTAAGAATCTTATTCTTATTGACTAATAGCTTTTTCATACGGATATAGTTATATTCCATATTGTTCTAACCTTCTTTTAAAATTCTAGTGCGAATACAGGGTAAAGAAGCTCAGAAATGAGGACAGCGTTTTGCAGTCAATTAGAAATCGGCGTAAAGCTCAAGATAATTGGGACAAAGTAATTTCTTTCTTGAATTCTGAAAACATCTTGTATATTTCACATTAATTTCCTTATGCTCAGCTCAATAATAGCTAAGCTTCTTATTTGTTGGTTATTTGACTGATATTTCATCTTTTAACCAGTTGAGAAAATACGTAAAGTATACTTATGGCTGTCCTACAATGGATGCTGACAACTATGATAAATCTAAAAATGAACCTTGTTGCAATGGGTTAATGTTGCATTCAGTCCGTAGTGGTGGATCATCACGTAAGCGAAGGCAGCAGAGCAGAGCAAGTTCTATGAATTTGTACAAGAAACCGAGTTTACCTGCCAACAAGGTAAAGCTGTCATGGTATATTCGTTAGTTTTTCTAGCTCACCGTTACCAATGTCACCTGCCCGTGAGAAGATGCGATGTCATAAGTGTCTAAGTGTGTTTGGTTTGGCTTTTGAGGCTGCAAACTTATAATTGATTTCAATGTTTTCTTTCAGACATTGAGCACCAAACCGCTTGGATCTACGAATGATTCTACACTGCATTATGAAAATACGGCAAAGAATCAGAGTGTTGGTTCAAGCAGAGATTTCCCACTATCTCAACCTCGAGAATCGTCTATTATTGATCATAACCTTATTCCTCCTCCACCTTTGTTGGGTATGTTCATACCATCTTACTAATTATTAGTGTTTATTTTCACGTGAAATAGGTTCGTTGAATGCTAGTGCTTTTGCTACCTCTCTTGCATCTAACTTGTATATAAACGTGATGCAGAATGCAAGAGTGGTTCTGAAATGGATATGTCCGATGTTCAGAAGAATCTAAAAAATTTGTACGAGTATAATGCTATGTTAAGGGAGAGATTATTAGCTGCAGAGTCTTTGCTCCAATCTTCATCATCTAATCACTCTTCTCAAATAAAAAGCAATGGAACTTAGCATAGGTGTCTCTGCGTCAAATGACAGTCATTATCGGTGCAACACCATCAGACTGTTACATGATTTTTACAGGCATCAAATGACAGTCATTATCGGTGCAAGACCATCAGACTGTTACACGATTTTTACAGGCATGGATGTAGGATTACAATGGAAGTAGGATCTTAATTGAGAACTGACCAAAGGCAATTAATGATTCCAAAATATTCGCGATTTGCAAGTGGGAGAATATGCTGCACGGATCTCTTCAAAAACCATAGTATTCTTAACCGAATATTCCTGCATCGAAAGCTGATGCACGTGGACAAAGCACACTGATCCGTATTTTGGTGTTGCCTGGTATTCTTTGGTGATAATTCGGATGATTATCCTCATCGCGTGATATTCTTTGTCCCACTTCTGAAAGTGATTTTCCATGCTCATATACGTTTCATCTAATCTTGTATAGCCCATGCTGTTATTTGTGTAAAGGAAAGTGGCACTGAACTTGTTTTTGCAGGCATTATTGTGAATCAAGAGTTCTAAAGAATGTAACATAACTATCCGTTTTTATTCCTTTTAATTTTCATTAGAAGGGTGATGCAATTAAGACATCCAAAAGTGAATTTAATTGACTTTTGTGTGTAAATGTCATGTTTGCATGCCTATGCCTATTTGTGTGCGCTATTCTGTTAATGTCATGTTCACACACAAATTTGAATCTCCGACATTCCGCATATTCAACTTTAAGGTAAAATTTATGACCATTAGGCTTGTAGACCAAACAATTTGACACAATCAACCTTAGGCAACAAAGCTCATTCCATGACAATGTACACAGAAGGAGACTTATTTATCAAATTGAACCAATGATCTTGTAGTAGTTATTCAGAAATGAAAGTATTACAAAAGACAGAAAAATGATTAATTTAACAAAGTTTGCAGCAGCAACTAGCACTATAATTGTCCATTCAATGAGATATTCTATTCTGTATCCAAATGTCAAGATTATTACAATGTAAGTACTCATAATAATATGGAACTCATTCATTCCATCTGCTCATGAGCAAATGAAGCTTCAAGAGCACATTGCCTTCTCTATCAGTTCCTGTAATTCTCCATTCTGATATGCCTCTGTAGTAAAAGAAAACATAGTCAGATTAAGAAATTATTTTCAAGAAATCAAATGGCGATGGTAATGAAAAGTATAATCTTATGCTAAAAAAGATAAACTTCATAAATGATTCTGATGCAGTCAATAGTTGTATGCAGTAAACATATGAAAGCAAGAGAACAACTTCTTGTTTTTCTCTTTTCAACTCTTATGAATCAAATACATGGAAGCAATGTATGCACATGTAATCTAACAGATAAACAAGTTACACATGTTAACATTATCACCAATGCATCATGAATTGATTAAGCCAATATTGCAGCAAACAAAGATAGAGGCAAAATCATAATCAGCTATGAAGCATCAACCCAGAGATACACACCAAATATGACACCAATTGGGACACGCGCCAATACATGTAATAGTTCGACAAAATGAAAACTATTGAACCAATTCGGACACGCGCTGATACCAGACACCGGACACATCTTCAATATGAAATGTTAGTATTAAAGCAGAAACTAAAAAGGGCATACCAATAGTGATATCACATCCACCGAAAAACTCTCCATCAATATAGAGCTGAGGAAAGGTAGGCCAACTGCTATACTCCTTAAGTCCCTGGCGCACCATATCATTATCCAATATGTTTACAGTTTCAAAAGAAGCATTCAAAGACTTCAAAATTTGCACCACTGTATTTGAGAATCCACACTGTGGAAAATCCTTAGTACCCTTCATAAACAAAACTATTTTGTTTGAAGTAACAACTTTATCCAACGTGCTCTTCAATTCAGGAGTCAACGCTGAAACAAAATCAAAATCAGAAAAAAAAATCCCAAATTGTATATATTCATATTCTTATCTATAAAGCTATAAACAGTAAAAATTGAATTGAATTAGAGATAACCCTAAAAGGGGTTGATGTGAATTTGAAGGTGAAATTGATATGGGGAGATTAAAGGTTGTGACTTTATAGTGATTAAGTGAAAACCCATGAAGGGAAAAGGGAGTTAGAAGTACCAGAACAGCGAATTGTGGTGGAAGAGCGTTTGAGGTGTGGTTTGGGTTGGGAGTGGAAAACGGTGTTTTGAGAGAGAACGTGAGATGAACGAGGTAGTAGAGACAGTGACGAGGTTGTTGTTGTTGTTGATGTTCCAGAAACGTGGGAGTGGAGGCATGATGTTGTTGGGTGGAATTGTAGCTGCAAAGAAATTGGCTTAACGCACCAACTGAGAGACATGTTTCTTTGTTCGGTTTCTGAACTCTAACTTCCACTCTCGATTCTCTTCCAACAAATATCGTCACTTGTTTGATTTCTCATATTGTTAATCTTATTTTATTTCTTTGATTCTAGTATACCTTTCGAAATTCCAACCACAATATTAAAGATTTAATTCTCTTTGGATAAAGTAAAATCTTTTAATTAATTATTAAATAATAGTATGAGTTTAATGGATATGCAATGATGATATGTAAAATAGTTTTATAGTGTTATTTAATAAAAAACTAATAATATATTATATTATTAAAAGAATTTTAAAATAAAAGTGTAATGTGGCGGGACATATTGTCGTCATTGATTGACCGTGTAAAACTATTTTACACGGGTAATGTATCATCCATTTTCTCTAATAGTATATGATCTAACCTGATCAGACTTGGACCGTCACGGCTGGCTCCGAGCTGAAGTTTTGAACGAGGTGGGGGGTACCTGCAAGACACTCCGATGCTGAAGTGAGTAAGAGTACGAGCAGGCAAAGTGTGAGTATATGTGATAGAATGAATACCTGACCCTCTGGAAGCAGAGGGTATTTATAGCCCCCAGCGCTGGGCCAAGGTTCCTTCATTGGGCCGGGCAGGTTTGGCCCAATGGAGGAACTGTCAGGTTCTACGTGCGTAGTGGGGACCCACACGTGGTCCCCTTCCTGGATGTTCTGCGTGAAGTGTGGGCGGATAGGGACGCGGTCTTTTCGGAGTCCCGTTGAGAGTGTAGTGGACCGTGTCCGCTGTCGAAGGAGCGCTCGAGCTGAGGTCGAGCTGGGCAGCACGAGGACGGGGTTGTCACCCAGTGACATATGTCGGGCACGCTATGGTCCTTAGGTTGGCGTGACTCTTAGCAGGTTCGTTTGGATTGGGCCTTTATTGTTGCTCTTGGGCTAGCCCGGCCCAGTCCAGAACAGGAGCCCCCCAAGTCGTGGTTCCTTGAGTTAGGAGCCATGACTTGATCTTAGGCTGCTTCCGTTTCGGGGCCCCGTACTCGGGCAAGAGATGCAGCTCCTCGTGGGGGTACTCGAGGGTCTCCCTATGTCGTGCTCGGGGACAGATGCCTTGCGAGGAATGCTCGGGGATTCCTCAACAGCCTGCGCCTGTCGAGCACGCGAGGTTCTTTTGGGAACCGTGCCGCCACCCTATGAGGATAGGGTCATCATTGCCTAGGGGAGCTGCGCGTCGAGGAGGGGAATCCATGGTTGCCCGAGGTGACGTTTGGTATTCCACGTCATCACTATAAATAGGATCCTTGGGCCCCAGAACGTGTTTCTACTCTTCGTGCTTCTCCTCTTCGCTCTGTTTCTGCTGCTGTTGTTCTTCCCAGATTCTCATAGCGCCGCCGCGATCTCCGTCACCGATTCCTTTCCTCCGCCGTCAAATCTACTTCTTGATTCCAAGTAAGTGACTTGTCTCCTCTGTTTTTCTGTTGTGATGCATGATTTGTCTTCTTTTTTAGACGTTTAGAGACCGTAAGCCTAGGATTAGCCCGGTAAATTCATGTTTAGCTCGTCAAACCCACGCGTATGTCCGGTAAACGCATGCTCGTGCCCGGTGAATGCATAGTTTAGGGTTTAATCTGCAGTGCTGCCCGGGGTCTTCATGAGTCAGGGCCCCTAATTCATGATTGTGCCCGGTAAATGCATAGTTCTAGCACTAGGCTTTATGATTTTGCTCGCCATGTTCATATCCCGGGTCGATGTGTTCATGAGTGACCGAGTTGTCGGTTCATTTGGTCGACTTGTAGAAGGACCTATCGAGGTATATGGGAGTCAGGGAGATGGCTGCTGTATTTTGTTCCAAAACACCAACTATGCAGTCGCGCGCGGAGCGCCGTGGTTTGTCGTGCCCTTCATCTCGTCCGTTGTGGTGAGCGTGTGGTTTCGCGCCCAATTGATTGGTTTCCCCGTGCTTTGTAGGTAACCATGGCGGACGAACCTTGCTCTTCAGGACGGCTCGAGGTGGAAGGACAAAGTGCTGACGAGAATGTCAGTTTGGTCGACACCATAGATGACCCCTTGCTGGAATGGGTGGGTGCCGAACCTAGAGGGATAACTTCAGTTTATAGTCGGCGCAGCCGAAGGGCCTACACTATCCTCGAGGCGGGCCACGACCAGCCCGACTTCCAGAAGAATTTCGTGGTCACTCGGCCATCTTTTACTGCTTGAATTTGCTCGGTGTTCCCTGAGTACAGTTTCCCTATGTACGAAATTGCTTTTAAAGACCTTGGGTTACAACTTCCTTTCAACGATTTCCAGGTCAGGGTCTTTAGCCATCTGGGGCTGGCCCCGTCGCAGCTTCATCCGAACTCACTCGCGTTTATCCGAGCGTTTGAGTTAACTTGCCGTTTTTTGAGGATCGGGGCAACCATACCCCTCTTCTTCAGGGTCTTCCACCTACAGCGCCAATCTCGGGGTGGAAAGCATAGTTGGGTTTCCCTGAAATAGTCGAAGAGACTTTTTAGGATGTACATGGACTCCGTGCGGGGTTTTAAAGACAAATGGTATGTTGTGAGGCCGGTAACCACAGCAGGTTTAGAGTCCGTGTACGAGGACGAAGCGGTCATAACCGACGACGACGGGGAGGACCTTTTGGACGGCGAAGGACGTCCGGTGTTAGGGCGCACGGCCAAGTTTCCCGTGCATTGGATCTCGAGACATTACGAGCACGGTACCGGGTATTACCATACGTCTGCGGGCGATATGAGCTCCGAGGACGAGAAGGCTTACGACACTCTTTGTCGGTATGTTGATAGCTTCCACCCCGCCAGATGGGCCACGAGGGAGGGGGAGGATATTCTGGACGATGAAGGTTATCCGACCTTCGAGGCTCGACCGATCGACACGAAGGCACTCGTGGAGTGCCAGTCCTTCGGGCAGGCTGCGCGTTTGCTAGGTCGTTTATTGTTTGAATTTCTTATCATTTGTTTGCTTATTTGCTCGGCACTAACCCGGGTTTTTTCGTGCAGGTTCGATGGCTGGACGAAGGGAGAGGCTCTTGAAGCTGTCTTGTGACAGGAAGGTGACTAAAAGGGTGGTGAAACCTCCTCAGGCGACGAGAATGGGCCCGCCACATAGCCCGAGCATATCTCAGGCGACAAGGGTGGATTCGCCGCCTAGCTCGGGGGCTGCTTTAGGAGGGACTCCGGATGTTCAGGAGGTCGAGCCACACACCGACCTGATACAGAGAAAAAGGAATCGGGTGGAAAGTCAGCCGGAAGTCGGCGAGGACTCCAGTGCTGTGAGGTCCTTCGGGTTGCCCCCTTGCTTTAAGGAGGAGGGTTTCTTCGAGGGGTTTCCTTTATCTATGAATCTCGACGAAGCTGAAACCATCCGCCGGATGAACAAGGAAAGCCGAAGAAGACACCTGGCCGCCAACATGGTCGGGCTGGTGAAGATGGTCGAAATGGCCGTTGTGCTGGCCGAGGAGGGGGAGGACGCTGACCGCGTCAAGGAGCTGGAGCTGGAGAAAGTTGCCCTCACCTCGACTTCGAGAAAGCTGAAAGATGCCCTGGAGCGCTCCGAGGAGATGTTCCGCGAGCAGGCTGAGCTGTTGATGGCGGAGACGGAGGCGCTGACTTTGGAGAGAGAGAGCTCCGGGAAACTGGCCGAGGAGAGGGATCTCCTTCGTGCGGATCGTGACCGACTGGAACTCGACAACGGACGCCTTGCCAAGGAGGTCGAGGATCTAAAAGCTTCTATGCTTCCTGCTGAGGATGAATCGGAGGACACAACCCTTCTGAGGAGTCGATCGGAACTGGTCGATCGTATTCAACTTCTCGAGGGGGACTGTGTCGGGGCTATGGCGGACGGCTTCGAAGCCGCGGTCAGCCAACTTTCCTTGTTAAATCCTGGCTTGAACACCGAGGGGGTGATCCATATGTCGCAGATTATCGATGGTCAGGTCGTGCCTCCGCCCGACTCTCCTGTTGTTGGTGATGGTAGCTCGGGGGAAGCCGAAGTGTGAGATAGTGGTGGGGCCTGCGTGCCTCGTTGATGTTTGTTTTCGGCCTGCGTGCCCGTTCACATTCTTTTGGGCCTGCGCGCCCGTTCTTTGTATTCCTGAATATTGCCGGCCTTTTTGGTCGGTTTACATTTTATTTGCTTTGTTGCCTACGGGCATTTTTGAATGAATGCTTTGTTTCAATTTTGATTATTTGCCCGTGCTTGCGTTTTATGTTTTTGTGCAAAAATTGGCCTAAGTTATGGGCCCGAGGAGCGCCCGTAAGTGGTTGTGACTTTGCTGGCAACTTTGCCAAGTCTTTTGTTCATGTATGCGCTCGGCCCCTTCTTGATGGCCTAAGTCGCCTAAGTGGTGAACTCGAGGGGAGAGACTCCTTTTTGACCCTTTTAGATGACCCGACATTCCTGGAGATTCGTCGGGCTGGCGGAGCGAGACCGCTTGGTCGGATACGCGATCCGGTCGGGGCTATCTGCCCGCGGCGTGAACTGCCCATCGTGAGCTGGGTGTTCTGCCCTACAGGTACTTCGACGGTGGGGCTCGATTGAGGTGTCCACGTCGGGCACTATCGTTTGTTCTTGTCTGTTGAACGATGTTATGCCGTTTGGACGTAGGTCGGGCCTGCACCTTGGCCTCTCTACGGGGTCGGACGTTTTTCCTCGTTGACCGGGCGCAGGAGTCGACAGTCGAGGGTCCTCATTGATGGTGGTTTTCAACTATAGTACTGCTTTAGTTTAGCAGCGTTCCAGGGTCTTGGTAATGGCTCTCCGTCTAATTGCTCGAGGTAGTACGCCCCGATACCGGTGGTGTCGTAGACGCGATAAGGCCATTCCCAGTTCGCGGCTAGCTTCCCTTCGCGGGAATCTTTCTGGTTTCTTCGTAATACCAGGCTGCCGATTTCGAACTCGCGCTTAATGACCTTGTCGTTGTGGCGCAGAGCCACTCGTTGTTTTAGGGTGGCTTCGCGCAGGGCTGCACCAGATCGGATTTCCTCGACCAAGTCGAGCTCGTCCC